TAACAATAATAATGATAAATATTATTTGAACACCACCACTACAGCGTACTAAAACCCATCTGGAGAAGCGAGATCGTATTACTACTACTGTTACTACTACTACCTACTAGTCGTTAGTACTCTGGAATTGTTTAGCGCTTTGCTTTCCACCAACCCCCATCTTGTTCTCATTCTTTCCCCCGTCGGCCTCTCTTTCTCCCTTTTCTGGCCCCCTCTTAACCCAGTTTAGCCAGTGACTGTCAAGCACTAAGGACAAGCCACCCTCCAATATCCTCGTTCTGTGTTGAACTCCCGGTAGGTAATCAAGTCAAGTACCTTGGGTCTCTTTTAGCCCTCTTGAGACTCACATCCACCGGGACTACCTTCCAACATTTATTAGGCGAAAAGAAACAATCAAGGTTAACAAACCAAAAAGAAAAAGAAAAAGAAAAGAAAACTATCTTCTCTCTCCCTCAATTATTAAGCGAACAAACCCGTGAGAATTATCTACTATCGCCGATCGGGTTATTCCTAGGGAATCCTTTAGAGTTCGATTTCTCTTTATTTTATTTCATTTTCTTTTTGACATCTTTAGTTTACCCTTTTTTAACTTGTTCTACCTAAACAAGTCCTCATCGGCCAGTAACCAAAAAGCACCCCCTCTTCTTGACCTCCCCCCCCCCCTCCCCGAATCAAGAAGGTATAAATAATTACCGACCAATTTCGAGGAACTGCACCCTGATCTACCACGTGACGTCCCCAACTCCTCTCCCTTTCACGGTTGATTTCCCCCCGTTCCTACGATCATTTCTAGTCCAGCACCACCGTCGCATGTGATTTGTTTATTCGCAAAGGCGATCGACTCTCGAGGTTCTTGGAGGGTGGATTCTTTTGCGACGGGCCTTAGTGCTGTGCACTAGCCTCAATTAAGGCGGTGATACGGGTCCCCGAGAGACAGTCAGACAGAGAGCTAAAAAGCGCTACTACTTTACTACTACGACCTGCCTCCACGCCTTACCACCGCTTTCAGTCCTAATCCAGGAGGCTGATTTCCGCACACCCTTCTGTCTCCGCCCATCCCCCCTCCCCATCTCGGCGGCTTCTTAGGCGTGTGCTCTGGTATCATCCGCCTCTTGTTAGTCTCCGACTTTTCGATCCTAGTTTCTTGTCGTTCGAGTGAACCTCGCTCTGCTACCCTCAATGCTCGGAGGGAGCTCGGAGCGGGATTCTCTACCATCGAATTCTGACACCCGCACGGGAGAAGCGTCCATGCCTGTCGCAACGAGTCAACCCGGCTCTAGTAAGCCTTGCTACTTTCGCGTTCTGGTCGCCTTGCGCAAGTCATCGCTAACAGAATCTTTCAGTTCCTGAATCGTCGCCTCAGGTTCATGTCACCGGTACCGATGCGTCGCCTACGTCCAATTCGTTAGAGTCCTCCGGGACGGCTCCGGCTCCCGTAGAAATGACTACGATTCCCGAAGGCGCCTCTGCCGCTAGTTCTGCTGATGTATCCAAGAAACAGCGTCTACTTCCTGTGCCGTCACGGACGTCCTTGAAAGCCGAAAGACAATCCACGTTAGACAACTCCCAGGATACTGCCAATGACGACTCTGAAAACACACTCCGAGGCTCTAGGAGAAGTATTCTAAAGGGGCGAAGGGACAGGAGCAAAGGGAGCAGCATGAGGTCACAGCGGAGGAATGAGGAGAGCGCGGCTATGGAAGAGAATAAAACGGATCCTGACTTGCGAGAGCCTGCCAAGGTGGAAAAGAAGAGCAGGGTGTCATCCCGGCTGTTTGCATTTTTGAGCTGTTGCTCGTCTTCCAACATCGATCCCGAAGATACGGCCATCCCCGCAAAGAGGACAACTCGCCGACCATCAGTCCCAAGTACTCAGCCTACTCCGGAAAAGGCTGAAACTCACCAGGGCGATTCGAGCACTGCAGAGTCCAAAGAGCCGAGCTACTATCGAGACGAGAAGGCAAATACAACAGTGACATCCGACCAGCCGCCGTCGCAGGTGGACGAAGAGCAGACCGTCAGTGGCCCGGATCAAGGCTCGCAGCTTGATGGCACAGTGTCGTCTCCGGCCCAACCTGAATCGGGCCACGAGGCTCCTTCGCAGAAGGAGAAGTCTGAAGGACAGGATATAGTGGCAGCACAGCACGAACCCAGTGCAGTTCCGCCGCGCACTGTAACGGAGAAGGTGGAGGAGCCCTCTCAGAAACCCGAGGAACATGTAACGTTCTCAGTGCCACCGCAGAGAGTCGATGATTCTCCTGCCCAGACGGATGAGTCCACCGCAAAGCCAGCTGTACCCGATAGCGTTGGCCCGAAGGACGAGAAGTACTCTACGCACGAAGAAGAGGCAATTGATCTACCAGCTGAGCTACCGCCACCACCGCCACTCGTTTCTCCAGGGCAACAGGCAGAAAATGAGAGTCACGACAGGGAGCAACAATGGCTGTTACCCCCACCTCAACCTCACCTACGCGACCGGAAATGCCTGGTCCTTGACCTGGATGAAACCTTGGTCCATAGTAGTTTTAAGGTTCTCGAGCGCGCCGATTTCACCATCCCCGTGGAGATTGAGGGTCAATACCATAATATCTATGTGATCAAGCGGCCCGGAGTCGATCAGTTCATGAAACGGGTTGGGGAGCTGTACGAAGTTGTTGTGTTTACGGCATCTGTCTCGAAGGTGAGTCCTGTTGACATATATCTCTGCAATCGCCTCACGCTAACTTGTTCTCAGTACGGAGATCCATTGTTGGACCAGCTGGACATCCACAATGTTGTCCACCACCGACTTTTTAGGGACAGTTGCTACAACCACCAAGGCAACTATGTAAAGGTCGGTCTTCTTGTGAGCGTCACATTGCTCGTTCAACTCATCTGACTCTTGCATAGGATCTTTCTCAAGTTGGTCGTGACCTCCGAGACACGATAATTATCGATAATTCTCCTACGTCTTATATATTCCACCCTCAACATGCGATACCCATCAGCAGCTGGTTCTCTGACGCCCATGATAATGAGCTTCTTGATCTGATTCCCGTCCTGGAAGATCTCGCTGGTACACAAGTGCAAGACGTTAGTCTGGTTCTTGACATTGCATTGTAATGTCTGTACACTAGCCCGGAATTTCATTTACAGCGTGCTTGGTTTGGTTATTCTTCGCCTTGCGGGCACCATCAGGTCATAGAAAAGATAAAATTCGGTCGATTTCCTTTGTTCAATACCCACCGATACGTCGAGCCCTCTCTCGCCTTTGAGATGCCAGATGAGAGTTAGAGTGCTTTGTGAGCGAACCGCGCATCTGAAGACGCTCGTGAGACCCGACAGTTCAATAGTGCATGTGTGCTTTTTTATCTGCGTTGTGTTTCTTTTCCTTTCCTCTGTTATTCTTTCTTAAACCCTTTTGCTGTTTGCATCTGCTGGACTTCTAGCCATGTCCTTCTGTCTAGCTCCAAGTGAGCAAATACTTTTCTGACTCCCTGTGTTTTTGATCCCTTTCCCTTGAAATCCCCCTGTGATCCCCCCTTTTTTGCATTCTGTAGGCGTCTGTCTTGGCCATCAGCTTAAAAACCTTTTTCGCTGATCTCATGTATACGCAAATTTACATTCCCTTTTTATCTGACTTCTTTCTTTTCTCAAATTTTGTCTAAACCTCCATCACCCTTAAGGGGTCTGACACTGCCGTCGCTCGATTTCCTATCTGTTTTGTTTCGTATCTGTGATCACCACCAAGACCCCAGCGTGTTTTGTCATCTTGTCAGCCATGATTTGTTTTGGAGACCTCCCTAGTGAGTGGCATCGTCATATATGTGTGCGCGTCACTGTTTCCGGTACTACCTCATAGTTTCCCATCGATACAGGATCTTGACTATCGATTGCCACCAATGTATATGTATCATTGGCGTACGTGCTATATGTACATAAAAGCGTCATCCTTCAACCCAGCACCACCTGTTTTAGTAGCCCCAATGGATTTTAATCAAGCATACTGCTGTTCACAGTCAAAGTGTAGAAAGTCGAGAAGTGAATGAAATCGAACCCGCGGGACATGGATAGGTCAATTCCATTCATTAAACGATATGCATAAATGAAAAACAAGAAATGCCGCAATTTGAACCACAATCCTCGGGCAACCGTCTCAGAAGCAGAGAAACCGTTAATTCCGAGCATCAAATCAACCCCTTCCCACTCACTGACCAAGTCGTCGTCGTTCTGATGGGCCCCCTTAATCTATGAACGTCCTTCCTAAATTAGCTACATCGATACCGATCTACAAATTACACGATACGTACTAAAATTACATACATACCGTCATTCGACCCACCGGCCAAAAAAGCTCCCCGCATCAAACCACCTCCAACCACGCCCAGAAAAAACAAGATATATGAAAGAAAACTAATCTACATACTTGCCCGCCACTATGAAGGATAGCAAAGGGTGGGACGGAAAACTGAGAGTCGGTCCCCAGGCGACCATCACGAATCCGGAGGCAATCGAGGACCCGGATTACTCAGACGAGGATGCGCCGCCGGTGGAGGAGATCGAGGCCGACGAAGGTATTTTTTTTTTTGCCGATTACGGTTGTGGAAGCGGGTGCTTATTGAGATTCTCTTGCTGTAGACTTGCTAGAGGATGAGGATAAGGATACTGAGGTGCGTGGATATCTTTTGCATGCGGCGTGAAGCGGAACTGACCGAGTGAGCGTTTTATCTAGGAGATCGACCTCGTCCATTGTCGTATTGCGTCCATCCCTGCTTTGCATCTAGAGCGATTCCCTAAAGTACAGGTACGACATCGGTGCTCCGTGAATGAAGGTGGCGGTTGGCGATAATGATTCAAGATTAACGGTGCGGTGGTTTCTAGAGAATATGTCTGCGGCAGAATCAAATATCGCGGATCGCGTTTCCTCCTGAAATCGCCGGGTCGCTGGTCGAGCTCGATCTCTACGATAACCTTATTTCGCATGTCAAGGGTCTGGATGAGTTCAAGGATCTGACTAGTCTGGACCTGAGCTTCAACAAGATCAAGCACATCAAGAATATCTCGCATCTGGTCAAGTTGACAGACTTGTACTTTGTGCAGAACAAGATCTCGAAGATTGAAGGGCTGGAGGGGTTCAAGGTGCTGAGGAATTTGGAGCTGGGGGCTAATCGGATCAGGGTGGGTGCTTGGATTGCGCGAGAATGGGTGCATGGGAGGGTTTACGCTGACTGGGTAGTAGGAAATCGAGAACCTTGACTCGTTGACGTCTCTTGAGGAGCTATGGCTTGGGAAGAATAAGATCACTGAGTTCAAGGTATGTCGTCTTCCCCCGTGCTGGAGCTTGGGGGAGTTGACGTATTGACATTCTACAGAATCTGGATGCGTTGCAGAATCTCAAAATCCTCTCGATTCAGTCGAACCGACTCACTAGTCTGAACGGACTCTCCTCCCTCAAGAACCTCGAAGAACTCTACGTTTCTCACAACGCTATTACCGAGCTCAGCGGTCTCGAATCGAACACGAAGCTGCGCGTCCTTGACTTCTCGAATAACCAGGTCTCCAAGCTCGAGCATCTGTCGCATTTGAAGAACCTAGAGGAGCTTTGGGGGTCGAACAACCAGTTGTCTAGCTTCGATGAGGTGGAGAAGGAGCTGAAAGATAAGGAGAAGCTACAAACGGTTTACTTTGAGGGCAACCCGTTGCAAACGAAGGGGCCCGCGGTGTACCGGAATAAGGTGCGCTTAGCGATACCGCAGATTATGCAGATCGACGCTAGTAAGTGCAGTCTTCCAGGTTTCCCGGTGTATGCGTATACTGACAGTCGCAGCGTTCGTGAGAATAGCTTAATTACCGTACAAGAACTGGCATGGCTGATGATACAATGGCAATCATGGTTAATGGAAAGCGGATTAGATTCCTATCAATCTCCTATGTTACATGTAGATTAAGAGAAACTGTATGTTCTCTGTGTCCACGGTGTCATACCTCGCTTGTGGAGGTATACTCCGAGCCTGCTGGAACCCTGGAAACGATCTACAGATCGTCCATAGCCTGACGGGCACAAACTGGGCATCACCCAACAATCGTGCCGGGGAAGCCTCACTATCGGCCTTGAAAGACAGGAACGCTCAACAGGACCACCAGAGCATCCCCATGCGCACATGCACAGGCATATCGCATAGCGCAAGACAGCCAACAACCATCCATATAGACCTCAGCGCATAGAACAGACCACCCAAACCAACCTGACCTCAATCCACCTCGGTATCCTTACCCTCAACCACCTTCTCCCCAGAATGCGACTCATCCCCCTCCCCCCTAAGCCCGCCCTCATAAAGCGCCATCAAACTCGTAGCCCCCAACCGCTCATTCTCCGCCTGCACCTTCCTCTTAACCCTAAACGGCTCATGACTCTTCCTCGCCATCGGCTCATCCGCCAACTCGCGCAACGGAACCCCCGTCCTCACCAGATCTCTCGACTGCCAACTCTTCCCATTCACACGAAACAGCGTATGGAACGGGTTCCGCCGCAGCGCAGACTCATGGTTATGTCGCGACGGCTGGATGGTACAGGTGATATGAGACTGGGCGGGGGGTTCACTCGAGGCCCAGGGGTCCGGGGAGGGCGTTCCTGGTTCGCGCGGGGGCAGATGCGACTGCGATTGGGGCATGGGTGGCGGTTTGACGAGGGGGATGGTGAGCGGGGAGGCGGCGATGGCTTGCGCTGCGGAGGACGGGGATTCGAAGATGGCGATT